TTTGATTTATTGTAGAGATGAGGTCTCGCCAAGTTGCCCAGGCGGGTCTCGAACCAGAGGTCCCAGGCAATCCACTCACCTCGGCCTCCCAAAGCGCTGGGATTACAGGCTAAGCCACTGAGCCCGACTGTAACTATTTTTAATAAATTATATACGTATGGTATTGCAATGTGTTTGGGTTCAAGGTTTTGAGTCAGGGCACTTTTGCCAAACATGTATAAATTGATTATGTGGGAAGAGTACTTGAGTTAAATGGTTCACATTTAATTTATTTAAAAAAATTTCTTAGTGTTTTAAGAATACAACTGCGATATGTGTTCTAAAAGAAAATTAACACATTTATCAGAGGATATAGCCAGGGGCTGTGATCTAACTTTGGGGGAATAAGAAAGTGTTAGGGGGCATTCCTAGAGGTGTAACAAAGTGAAGTTCATGTCTAGGTCAGAAGATTGATGAGAAATTGCTAGACAAATAAGGGGTTAGAAAAGTATTCAGGCAGCAGAAGTAGGATAGAACAAGAGTTTCTCAGTGGCAGCAGCCTCACTCAAATGTTGGGATAACTGGATGAAGCATTCCAATGACTTTTCTAAAGAAATCCCTAGCTTTCATAGAAATTTCATCATTCAAGTAAGCCATCTGGATTATAGCCTTAATGACGGGACATCAATCAATCTTGTAATTGAACTTAAAAACTTTGAGAATCATGAGCTGTGCATTATAAGTGATCCCTCTTGGATTGGCAGTAGTGGGAAACGTCCAGGGGAGATGGGGGATGGGATTGTCAGTAGTGGGAAACTGCCAGGAAAACGGAGAGCACACCTCATCAACAAGGGTAACTGCATAATGAATATTTGTATACCCAACCCTGAATTGTACCCCACATCTTTAAAATGAAAAATTAAAAAAGGGATCCCTCTTTTAATGAAAACACTAAGGCACAGGAAGTGATGATACTTGGTCAAGGTCACACAGACATTATATGGGAAACAATATAAACCTTGCGTCTTCATGATGGAAAAATCTCATGTTTTCTCCCCAGCACTTCCTATTTCTTTGTTGTTGTTGTTTTTTTTTTTTTGAGAAAGCTGGATTTATTGAGAGGACAGAAAAGCTCCCAGAGCAGGAGGGGACTCGAGGGGATTGCCCCCTATTTCTCTTGTGTTGTGCTTCTTCTGTTAAATCTCTTCTTCCATAGCTCTGCTAGAAGACCATTGAGGGCAGAGAAAGAAACAGCCCAATCCATCTCCATGCCACTAACATCATATGGCCTAGAAGATTTTTGTTTGGTTGTTAGAGGAATTTATCTGTTAATTCACATCAAGACAGAGTGCAATCTGGGATTTCCACGAAAAACACAAACTAGAAACAAATAGGCTCTCAAAATGTGGATGGGAGGAATGGGATTAAAGACTATGAAGTATTTGAGTGTACATTCATTTCTTTCAACACTGCAAAGGGCATACTTGCTCTGTAAACATGTGCATGTTTTTGTGTGTCCAAGGGTCAGGCACCAGACACAAGACAAGGAATAATATCCCACCCCAGAATTATGACTTTTACCTTGGTATATAGGTCCTGAATTTGGTTTGTGAGCTCTTCTCTGAGTCTGTAACTCTCTCTTTCATCCAGGTGCATCCTTTGTGAAGGAACACCATCGGGAACTCAAAGCCAGGATGGGGGATGTAAACGGGGTGCTTGATGATCTCCAGGACAGTAAGGTTATTACTGAGAATGAGAAGGAGCTGGTGGTGCAGGAAAAGACACAGCAGAGGAAGAATGAGACCTTGCTGAGCATGGTGGAGAAGAAAGGGTACACGGCCCTGGAGTTGTTCTTCAGAAGCCTTTGTAAATGGGACCCTTATCTTGTGGCCTATCTTAGACAGCAGCCATTGTAAAAGGACTCGGATAGTCCAGAAGAAGGAATCCAGTGTTCTCACTGGAAATGGATAAATAGAAATGTGATAATTGATCCCAGTGTCCAAGACAGAAGAGGGCTGGTTAACATCTACCCATTCAATAGGCTTTTGGGACTGACATGTGACCTGTCATATACCTACATACACTATTTTAATGCCTTTCCCTCAAGAATATCTAAAGAGAGTAGCAATATTTCTTGAAAATATTTTCTAACAAAAGCTAAACAACAAAACATTTTCATCTGTTGACACACTTCTTGATGGGTAAAAGAAGTCAAGACAGATGTGTTTATGAATGACAGGACCTGGAAAGGCAACTTCTTCTGACTAATGTGGAACACAATTTTTATGAACACTCCATATGAAGTCTCACCTTCTCACTGCTAAAAGCGGGAAATCTGACACAAATTCTCAGTTGAGGATACACAAGGTATTCTTCGATGGTAGTGGTTTTTTTAATATGCCACTCCTTTAATATTTTATCTATTGCTATTCTTACTAGAATAATAGGTATATTTGGTGAAAAAGTGAACAAAAATGGAGAAATTGCAAACATGAGTGGAAAACTTTTTGCCACTGATATACAGCCTGGTAGAAAGAATTGTTGGGTCAAAGTTTTATGGACAGTTCCAAGGAATGCATTGATGGAATACTGTAAATGGACTCCACAGAACCACCAAGAGGAAAATGAGAATGATCCATCTTATTATGAGACTGACCTTCTTAGCAATATAGCACACAAAAATAAGCCAACCCTGGCATTGGAATTCTACAACTGACCCTGTCATTTTGTAGTTGCCTTTTGATTAGTGTTTGCATGATACATATATTTTCATCTTTTACTTTTAATATGTTTCAAACATTATATTTGAAATGAGTTCCTAGTAGACAGCATATTGTTGGATCAGTTGGGAAGTTTTATTTGTTTTAAACTCATTCTGATTGATAGTCTCTGTTTTTCAACTGGTGAATTTCAAACACTTACATTTAATGTAGATGTGTTATGTTCAGATTTATCTTAATCCAACAGCTTAGTTATTTGTTTTTTATTCTATTAGTAACTATTAAGTTTTGTAACATCAAGCATTTTCACCACCATTTGGGTCCCATTATCTTTTCTCCTTTATGATATACTTATCTTCTATATTCTCTTTCTCTATATTAAACTCCACAGGAAATTATTATATATCTTGTACTTTTAATCATTGAGAATATTTAAAAACTCATGAGAATATTATATTTTCCCAGATATTGTCATTTCTTTTGTTCTTCCTTTATTCTTGATATTCTGAGTTTTGTTCTGTAATTTTCTACTTTTGTGAAACTTTTTTAGTAGTTCTGGTAGAGCAGATCTGATATCTATGGGTTTTCTTATTTTTACTTCCCTTAAGACATTTTTTTCTCATCTTTATTCCTGAATGAATTTTTTTCTTGACATAATATTTTGAGCTAACAGTTGTTTTCAGCTATCATCTTTTGGTTTCCACTTTTCTTGATAAGAAATCTGCAGTCAGTCAAACTGCTCTTTCCCCTATGTAATGTGTCATTTTTCTCTGACAGATTTTGAGATATATTTCTCTTTCTTTAGTTTTTAGCCATTTTATTATGAAACATAATGGATATGAGTTTCTTTGTTTTATTCTGTTTGGGGTTTGCTCAGTTTCTTAATCTTGAAGGCTTATTACTACTGCTACTATTATTATTATTTTACCAAACTTGCAAGTTTTCAGCCATTATTTCTCCAAATTTTTTTTGTCTTTGTGTGTTTTTTCTCCTCTTCTGGGACTCTTTTAATGCAAATATTGTGGTCTTGTGTTGTCCTAAATATCCCTGATGTTCTATTCATTTAAAAAGTCTTTGTAAACTCTGTTATTCTAATTGGGTAGTTTTTATTAGTCTATTTTCAATTTTGCTGATGTTTTCATGTCATCTGCATTATTCCAATGAATATATTCACTGCATTTTATTTCATTTTATTATAAAGATGTGGGAGTACTAGTCAGGATTAGTTACACAAGCAATGTATGTGCAGGTGAAGTTTGGTCCTCCAACTGGTCCTCACTTCGCCTGGGTTAGGATCAGGTATGCGTTATGTTGTTACGTGATGCCTCCCCTTGGCAGTGTCCCATGACTGCCAAACCCTTTCTTGTGCTATTGTGAGTAATGTGCCAGTTCCCATGAGTGAGAACATGTAATATTCAGTTCTTTGTTTCTAATTCATTGAATTTTTAATATTGGTTACTGAATTTATGAGTTCAAAATTTTTGATGTATTTTTATATTTTTAAATTTATATTCTATTTTCCTATTTGTGGAAATATGCAAGCAATTGCTTGCTTGAACATTTTTATAATGTTTATTTTAAGGTCTTGTCAGATATTGTGTCACGTGTACCATTCAATGATTGATGTCTGTTGAGATGTCAGTTCTCAGATGAGTGAAGATTTTTGTAGCACCTCTTTGTATTCTCAGTAATTTTGATTTGTATTCTGGATAGTCAAATGTTATGTTATGATGCTATATGTCTTATTTATATAAAACAGAAAGTGTGGATTTTTTAGTCTTCTGTAAACTGAGATCTTTTTTTTTGAGTTGGAGGCTCACTCTGTTGCCCAAACTGGAGTGCAGTAGCTGCTCCCAGCTACCGCAGCCTCGACCTGCTGGGCTCCAGCGGTCCTTCCGCCTCAGCCTTCCAAGTAGCTGGAACTACAGGCACGCACTACTATGCCCAGCTAATTTTTTGATTTACTGTAGAGATGAGGTCTCGCCAAGTTGCCCAGGAGGTTCTCGAACCCACAGGCTCAGGCAATCCACTCGCCTCAGCCTCCCAAGGTGTGGGATTACAGGCTGAGCCACCGAGCCCGACTGAACTGAGATCTTAATGTCAACTCATTTTTAAAGTCTTTGAAGTTTTATTTAGTTCTAGTCAATGTGTGTGCCTGTGAGATTGGAGAATTTTATCTGTTAATCCAGTTCTCAAAGCCTTTGAATGTGAATTAGGACTAGATTAATAAATGTACAACATATGAATTTTAGAACTTATACATTAATGCCAGAAATTCTGCCCTTTATGTACCCTAGAAAAGAGAAAGTTACTATATTCCGGGAAAGTTATTATATTCCATTATTTGCATAGATATCTGTTTATTGTGGCACTCAGAGTCATAAAATAAGTGAAAATAACTCAATATTTATCAACTTGAGAATGGATGAAAAATGATGGTATAGTAATTAAACAATACAATGGCACAAAAAAAATGAATGAACTATCACAATTTTACCTGTTAGCCCGGTTCTCAAAGCCTTTGAATGTGAATTAGGACTAGATTAATAAATGTATAAATTGGAGTTGAACGCCAGAAGTCATAAAAGCATGAATTCAGATTTTATAGCTGCATCCTCTTTATTATTGCTATGGCGAGAGCATGACATTTTGTGACTACATATACCTTAACTCGATGTAAACGAAACTTTTACATTTGAAGATCAAACTCTACATTTTCATCAGAAATATAAAAATATGTTAATAGTATTTAAAAATGCACTAGTTATTAAAAGTTTTATTGCTTCATTTGAGTATGTTAAATTGAAAATAAAAGTTCATAAAAAGAAGCTATTAACTAACAGTGGTAAATATCAGGTGATATTTGCAACATATAAAAAATATATGATGATTATTATTTTATAAAAATGCAGGGTACATCAGGGATAGGTATGTAAACACTGATTATCCAGGTACCCTTGTTGATGAGGTATGCCCCTCCCTTCCCTTAGCAGTTTTCTTCCACTGCCAATCCCACCCCCCCCGACAGTTTCCCATTACTGCCAAATGCTTTCTTATAGTATGTATAAAAAAATTTTTAAAAATTATTCTGGTTAAACATGGCCAACATTTATGAGTGAAATTTTACACCTTATGAAGCACAATGGACAATGAACAAAAGTAAGTTTTTATACATCTAATTACCAGGAACCTTATATCAAAACCATAAAAACATACCATGTTATATTTATCAAATTGCCATATAACAGGAAGTCAGCAATACCTACTACTGATAAGTATGTGGAGCACAAAAATATCTAAGTGCTGTTATTGGTTAGGTACCTATCCACTTTGGAAATCAAATTAAAGGCACATATACTACCTTAGTTTGCTCAGCCTTCCATAACAAAATACCACAGACTTATTGGCTAAAACAGAAATGAATTTTCCCACAGTTCTGGAAGTTGGAAAGTCCAAGATCAAGGTGCTGACCAATTCAGTTTTGGGTGAGTGCTCTCTTCCTGGCTTGCAGAGAGCTCCCTTTTCTCTACGACCTCACATAGTCTTTCCTTGGTGCACTAGAGAATTGAAGGAGTTCTCTCTCTTCCTCTGTCTGTCTCTTTTTTTCTTCTAGGGTCATTAAAGCTATCATGAGGGTCCCATCCTCATGACCTAATATGACCCTAATTACCTGTCAAGACCTCATGTACAAATACCATCACATTGGGGGTTAGGGCTTCAACACATGAATTTTGGAACTTATACATTAATGCCAGAAATTCTGCCCTTTATGTACCCTAGAAAAACAGAAAGTACTATATTCTGTTGTTCATATAGATATCTGTTTACTGTGTTACTCAGAGTGCTGGGTTACAGGCATGAGCCACTGTGCCCTGCTATTTTTTTAACTTTAATATCTATAAAATTTTTTTTTACTTTGAAGATGTGAGGTCACAGTTCAGGGTTAGGTACATAAGTTAGTATTTTCTATATTGTCTATTTTTTGTTACCTTAATACCTTCTATGTAATACATGAAATAAATAGCAGTAAACTTTTTGGAGTCATTTAGATTTTCAAACTGTGGCAAGCAATTGTAAAATGAACAGTAGAGTTCTTAGCCAGCCATGTCTGTTACAATCCTGAGTGATGCCTGCAATGGTTGAGTTAGATCAAGTCCCATGGTAACATCAGCTGAGTGAAAAGTAACTTCGGATCACTTTTCTA